TCAGCACATTTACCCAGGCTTCCCCCAGTTTGCCTCATTGGCAAATGCCCTGCTACACTCGCAGATGAGGGGGCTGCTGGTAGTTCCCTCCCTATACAGGCAAGAGGCCAACTCCCCTTTCATCACACACAGTTTTGTTGGCAGTGCAACTATCCTGATAGAGTCATGAGAACGTTCTTGTCCCAGGACATGCCAAGGTCTCCTGCTTCAGCAGGTGGTCACACTAGGCATTAGGATGGAGGATTTTGGCCAGAGTGTTATGGTCACTACTGGCTGGATAGGGAGGTTTCCCCAGGGACCAAGAGTCTCTGGGTAGCTCTGATTGGAGATGAGGGATTGGAAATTCTCTTAATACTGAAAACAATTCCTGTCTCTCGAATGGTTTCGGGATGAGCTCCAGGAGGGGATTGTCTAAGTCACCCAAACACCGCGTAAGGTCCCTGCATTGGTGTGGAGTCACTAGGGGGACACACAAAGGGAAAGGGAGTTGGGACAGGGCTGTAGCAAGAAGCCAGCACTAGCCCTGGCCCTGACAGGTTTCCAAGTGAGGGAGGATGGTCCAGTTGCTAGGGAGCTAGCCTAGAACTTGGCAGACCTGCATTCAAGTCCCTGCTCCCACAGACTTACTGGGTGTCTTTGGGCAAGTCACTTAGTCTCTCTGGGCCTCAGTTCCCCGCCTGTAAAATGGGGATCATAGAACTGCCCTGCCTCACAGGAGTGCTGTGAAGATAAACACATTAGGAATTATGAGGTGCTCAGATGATCTGGTGATGGGGGCCACATAGGCTATGTTTACACTGCACTTAAAAACTCACAGCTGGCCCTTGCTAGGTGACTGGGGCTTGGACTAAGGGGCTGTGTAATTGTCGTGTAGACATTTGGACTCCGGCTCTAGAACCCTGCGAGGTGGGAGGGTCCCAGGGCTCAGGTTGCAGTCTGAGCCCGCATTTCTGAACGTCTACATCAGTTAAACAGCCCCTTAGCCTGAGCCCCGCAAGCTTGAGTCAGCTGGCATAGGCCAGCCACGGGTATCTAACTGCAGTGCAGACATACCCATAAATACCTTAGCTAGATAGATAGCTCCACCTGCGAAAGTGTACAGACGCCCAGTGGCAAGACTGATGAGAGGAGAAACTCTATAGTTAGAAGAAAGTGAATGATTACCTAGCACTTTATAAATATTAGTCAACTAGTTCTCACGCCCTCAGAAAGGTATTAGACTCATTTTACAGGTGGGGAAACTGAGGCAGAGAGCAAGTGTCTTGCCCAAGGTCACAGAGAGAGTCAGTGGCAAGGGTAGAGCTCAAGAGTTTCTCCAGTCAATACTCCGAGCATTAGATTTTCTCTAGCCCTCAAAGCTGAGATTAAAGGAGGGGGAAGGGACACATTAACAAAAAAGACACTGTGAGTAGGGATGCTAGCCCCTAATGAAGCAAAGGCAGCAATTATGGCCCCAAAGGTAAAAATTCACTGAAACTGTGACTTGATTGTGAAGTGAGCAGAAGACAGCGCTCTGCTCCCCGCTTTCTTGAGTCACCACCCCCTCCTCGTCTGCACCCCCACATCCGGGCTGGATCGCCTGCAAGGCCAGTCCTCCCCTTGCAGCCGCTCGAACACAAATTTGCAAACAGAACTCACTGCAGGCAGGAGTCGGAAGCCTGGCTCCCTGAGCTAACTGTCACAAGGGCAAACCCAGGCACTGCAGGGGTGAGGCTGACACTGCCAGGTACAGACTAGTGCAGCACACGAACCTTGGCAGGTTCTGATTGTCGCTTTCAGTTTAGGAAAGGACACACATTTGGTTTTAGATCGGTGCCCAGCTGGAGAAGCAGGGAAGCATGCTCAGAGGCAATCTATCCACTGACTCACAATGTACGAGAGGGGAGGACTCATTAAGGAAAAGGGCTGTAATGCCTTATTTCCTCTGACTCAAAAGTTCCCTTAATAGGAAATGGTTTCCAAGCTGTGCTAGCGAGGATGCCGGCCCCTGTGAGAGCAATGGATGCATTCCAACCCCTGATGGAAAACACCACCGAGTCTCCTTTGGATTTGAAGTGTAAATCGTATCTACTAAAAAGGGCCTTATATAAACTGACCAGTGCTTGGGGAGCAGCTTTGCCGCTCTAACAGCATTATTTATGGCCTCGCTGCTCCTTGAATGTGCCTTTTCCAGTACGCTACAAAGCCACACAGGAACGAAGAGAGCACCAGGCCTGTCCAGATGATGTAACAGGGAGCACCTTGTGCCAAGACGAACATGGCCCAGTGCTGCTCGCGAGCTCAGACAGCAGCATGGATCTGTTACTCTGATCATCGCCGTCGCCGCAAGATACTCTTTCGAAACTTGCCGATATTTTTCTGACAGTCTCCGCACTAACCGAGCACGCTAAAAGCAGCCAAACTCAACATTCCCTCAGGAGCCTTGGTTCAAAACTTTGAGCTGAAATATTATTGGGCAAAGGATCTGCCTAGCTTCCAAGGGATGTTGATGGTTTTTAAACGGAGGCACCGTGCTGTATTTCACCAGGTATTCCTCGCACCTGCCTGGCAATGAGGCAAAGTAATCAAAAAAATAATCTCCTGAGAAGCTGAACAAAGTTAAAAGGGACAAGTCAAGAAAGAACCATGAGCCACCTCCAGGCCAAACTTCCATTGATTTCAATAGCCGTTTGCCTGGGTAAGGAGTGAGTACAAATCTAGTGCCAGATCCTGCCACCCACACTCGCACTGAGCAGTACATTACTCATGCCACTGAAATCAAACTGGTAACATACAAAGGAATGCTTGGGTTTTTTAAATACATAAGGCCAAATCCTTTGGTCCTTATTCACGGCTAGATTCCATCACCATTACTCACACTGAAATCAATGGGACCCCGCCAAAGTAAGCTACTACTTAGCATAAGGGTGGCAGAACCTATCCCTCAGTAAAGACCTAAGCACCTGGCCGTGTATATTTTAATAAAATCCTCCTATTCTAGATTACCAATAACTCTTTTGATCATTAAAGCTGAACAAACTTTCAAAAATCTAAATGCCCTTTTTCACCACTGCTGCAGGTTCCCTTACACTTCACTCTACTTGTCAGGTGAAACTAGATGGGTCAATTCCATCTTCTGTTTATAGCCCATTTCACTTTGCAGCTCTTCTCTGCCTTTGGTAGCATGTTGTTATGTTTGGGTCTCTAACAGTACAGGAAGAAAGATCAATTAAAAAACCTCCAGTTATTTTAAATGTTTGCTATTCTCTGAGGTTTTGCAAGCCCCATCTTTTTTTTTTTAAATACCAACCTAAATTTATGGCCTGAGCTACTAGCCAGTGTTGCTTTAAGCAAAGAGTCAGAAGTATTTATTTACAACCTGCAGACGTATGACAAAATATTCTAAGTGCACAGGCAAAGCAGAGAGAACCTAGCCAAAGTATTTCATATTATTACTTTCCAGAGTATCTTAAACTAGTCTGAGCTGAGAGAGCAGTTTCCAAGCTGTCAGTAGTAGAGTTTAGCTGACTTCTGCTGCATGGCCCGTGAATCCTGGTAAATCATTCAAAAACCTGGGTGAATGTAAAGAGATCGCTGGAGCAGGTCCCTGCTCTCTGGAGTGATACATGGACGAGCAGTGGAACTCATTGCACCAGTCTGCCATCTCTCACTATTCAGTATGGTTCCCAACTCAGGGACCTGCCTCCTGAGTGGTGAAATCCAAGCAGAACCTGCCTTTAGCCCTTGATATTGTTTGGCTTGTTAAAATTAGGTTACAACAATAATCTTGTTCCCCCAAATCACTACATGCCCTGAACCCTTGTGGCACTGTGATAGGGGAAGGAGTGGAAACCAGGGTACAGCACACACTTCTCAGGAAATGCTGAGATGTTCTGTTTGTAGCCCAATGTGACGAAGTTGTGACTATGTGCCCAACAGATGGAAAGCCCTCATTAGAAGACCAACACCAGCTGCAGCAGCATTGTACATTATTGACCCCGAATCCTGCAGTGACTCTACTGTAAAATGGAATGTTTCTGTAGTGGTGGTTTTGTTGTTGGGTTTTTCTCTTCATAAAGAAGGGGTCACCCAATTGCCAAACGGTCCCTATGCAGAAGGCTGTCCTGATTTATTGTAGCCAAAACAGACTATTTTTCATTCTGCCCTAGTAATAAAAAAAAATCCACCTGCTCCAATGTGTTTCACTGGGGACTAAAGGCGCAGCCCTATGTTGTCATCTCCAAACATTTCTATAAATGCTTAAGAGTATTGGCATCTATTATGGCATCGAAGTTTGACACAGTGGACCAGATTCTCGTCTGGCATTGTCCCATTGGCTGTCAACAGAGCCATGCGAATTTACAGCGAAAGAGCTGGCCCAGCCACCCCATCCTTTTCTGTCCTGTTGAGGTTAGTGTTAGTGGCTCAGTAGCCTTCCCCCACCCGCTAGGTCCGGCCTCTGCTAGATTGCGGGAGGGGTGGGGGGAACAGAGAAATCTGAAAGGTTCACAGGACTTAAGTAATTGAGCTGCGAGATGCTCAGACCATAGCCAATCTTTCTTCCTCACCCCCTCCCCAAGTCTGTCCTATCAGCTGCAAGGGTTTTAAGTGATCAGTGCAAGCAGCTCTATGCAGCAGAGAGGAAGCATGGTTCAGTGGTTAGAGCATTAATCTAGGACCCTGGGGATATGGGTTCAAGTCCCTGCTCTACCACAGACTTTCCTGTGTGACCTTGGGCAAGTCTCTTAGTGTCTCCATCTGTGAAATGGGGATAACAGTGCTCCCCTAACGCACAGGAGTGCAGTGAAGATATCCAGATAGTGAGGTGCTAGATGCTACTGTTATGGGAGCCAAACAGACACCGAAGCTAGCTTGGCTGCATGCTCCAACATATCGCTCTGCTCTGTGAAAAGGAGGATTCCTACCTACTCTTCTATAAAACTGCAATAACAAACAAACATTACAAGCAGTAATGAAATCTGGTGCGTCTTTAGTGCCTTTGTCAGAGCCGGAGCTCCTACCTGGATACTGCAATCTCAGCCTTCTGCCGGGCGATAGCTGCGGCCCTCTGAGCCCCTTCCATGCTCCTGTCCACCTTCTGCCTGATCTTGGAGCTCTTCAGTGGTATCACCCGCTTCTTCATACCTTTGATCAGGACATTCTGCCGGTATTTGCCTTCCTCCTTCTTGCCATCTGGCAGGGTGGTGCAGCCGTAGCCGTGCCGCACGTTGTCCAGCCACTCGCCCTCGTACTTCAGGCCGCTCGACCTCTCGCTCACCCCAAAGCCTGAGCGCTTGTCATTCTTCCACTCGCCCATGTAGGACTCCGTGGTGGTGGCATCGATGTCAGACTCGAAGGGCGGGAACTCCTCCCCTTCCGCCCCTTCGCCCAAGCTGATGGTGGAGGTGGCATCACTGGCAGCAGAGCTGATACCGCTCTCGCTCTTGAGGAAGCTGACTCGGCTCTTCTGGCTGGCCAGGGAGGTTTTGGACTCCGATTTCTTTAGTCTCCCCAGCAGAGAGCCCCGTCTGAAGAGGCCCCCTTTCTTCGGCTTGCTGGCTCCAGCATCCGCATACAGACTGAGGGCAAAGCCTCCCCGAGTGATAGTGGGTGACATGAGGATGCTTTCTGGGCTGCCCGCCGGCGAGTCCTGCTGTGGCAAGGTGCCGTTGCTGTGCTCGCTACGGAGGGAAGACAGAGAGGTTCGGAGAGGGGAGCGGACCACAGACGCCATGCCGTATGGGACGCTCTGACGGACGCCGTATCCGTGGCGCATGCCATTGGTGAACTGGCCCTGGTACGTTCCTAAAGGCAAGAACAAGGAACTCGTTAAGCATGACACTTATTTTCCAAACCGATGCCTCGATACAAAGAACGTGCACAGCAAATCAAACCACCGCAAGACATAACAGTTGCCCTCGTGCCTGTGCACCAGCTGCTGCCCTCTGCTGGGAGGGAAAGGTCAGAGCTGCACAAGTGATTCACATTATTGTACTGCATATGGTGAAAATGACTAATGTTGTATACAGCGAACGCGCTCTCCCCAGGGACCAGCCACACATTGGGCTGCCCAGCAGAGGTGGGAAGTTAACTGAAGGTTGGGAAGAAGGATGATCTTGTGGCTGAGGCACTGGGGTCAGTTTTTGGCTCTTCCTGCGAGTCCTTGGGCAAGTCACTCAGCCTGAGTTCCTCATCTGAACAGTGGAGATAACGACACCCTCCTACTTCACAGGGGTGTTGAGAGGCTAAATACATTAAAAGATTGTGAGGTGCTCAGATACTAATATGGTTGGGCCCAAAGAAGCATCTAAATAGACCAAAACTGTCCTCGAAATGCTGGGGAGAGACTCTAGGAGACAACTCTAAAAGCGTCTGTCTTGGAGAGCAATTCCTGCAGCCCTTGAATACGCTGCCCTTCACTGTTCCCAGAACAAAGCCCATAACCTATTGTTACGATGGATAAAGCGACGAGTTTTAGGGATAGGTAGAAAAGAGAGGCAGCCACACCTCAGAAGCCCTCCAGCACTGACCCAAAGCTGGGATATTTGCAGGGTACCTCCTCCCTTCCCCTCACCCCTTTGAAGGATTTGCATTACACTACGCTTCCCTCTGGTTGAGGAGAGCTGAGGGTGACTCCCTCAGCATCCCCATGTGGAAGGGGACAGAATGGGGCTCATCAAGAATTACACCAAGGGCTCCCTTCCAGGGCCGGCTCCAGGGTTTTGGGCCATCGCGATCTGCAGCGGCAATTCGGCGGAAGGTCCTTCGCTCTGAGCGGGAGTGAGGGACCGTCTGCCGAATTGCCGCCGAATAGCTGGACCTGCCGCCCCAAGCACCTGCTTGCCAAGCTGGTGCCTGGAGCCAGCCCTGCTCCCTTCCCAGTCAGGAGTGAGCAGGCTGCCTCCCTAGCACGCCCAGCTTCTGCTGACCTGGGAGGCCCGTTTCCCCAAAGCAGCTCTCTGCTTGGCAGTGCTATGTGATTAGACGCCTGACCCAAAGCCTATTGAAATCAGACTCCCCTTAGTTTCAGTGGGCTTTGGATCAGGTTGCTAGGTGCTCTTACTAGACAACCAGGGAGGCCCTTACTTGTGGTCCCTTCATTTACAAAGCTCTGGATACATTCAACCCAAAATGATTCCGCTGGGGAGTTAAAATGTCCCTCCTGTAGCGGCCTCCCAGTCAGTTTTCCTCCAGCCATTTGAAAAGATGCCCTCAGATGTGCAGAGTTCAAAAGGCTGCCATGAGCCAGCCATTCAGAGCGGAAGTGACTTGGCAATTCATCAGCAGGCGGGTCTGCAGTGGCGGGAACACAGTGTGGATTGCAGCCGTCCCTCACTCATTACCTCAGTGTAGAGTCAAACTGCCCCTTAGATAAGCTACTGTCATTGAATCAGAGAAATGTAGGGCTGGAAGTGATCTCTTGAGGTCACTAGTTCAACCCCCCACACTGAGGCAGGGTATATACCTAGCCCCTCCCTGACAGATGTTTGTCTAACCTGTTCTTCAAAACCTATAGGGATGGGGATTCCACAGCCTCCCTAGGTATCCTGTTCCAGAGCTTACCTATCCTTCTAGTCAGAAAGTTCCTCGAATGTCAAACCTAAATCACCCTTGCAGCGAACTAAGCCAATGTACTTCTCGGGCTGCCCTTGGCAGATATGAAGAACCACTGATCACCATCCTCTTTGTAATGATCTTTTCCATATTTGAAGATGGTTATGTCCCCCCCTCAACGGTCTCTCTCTAGACTTTGGGGAAGTCTCTTCTGCTCCTGTGCCACAGTTCCCATCGCTGTAAAACAGAGACAATAATCCTGCCTTCTGTCCTGATGTGAGTGAAGCTTAATTTCCTAATGCCGAGCTCCACCCTCGGGAGGGCACTAGAGAAGGGCAGCATGGGCTACAGGGAAAACCTTTGCTTTTTGTGTTGGGGGCAGGAATATCATTGTGGAGCCTCAATACAGAGCGATCGGAAAGAAGCAGTTTCACTGCTGCGGCTGCTTTGGAGGTTTCCCAAGGGGGAGCCCGTTTCCTGCCCGGCCAATACCCCAGAATGCTAATTCTGCTCACACCAGAATCCCTCTCTCCCTGGATTTCCCTCACTCTGTTGATACGGTTGCCTCAGTAACTGGCAATCCACCAAAAACAAAAGCAGCATTCAGCTCTGCCTCCATTCGTCACTGAGAGTTCGGAATGGGTCATCCTTTTCCAAACCACAGTGCAGAACACGGTCCCCCGCACCATGCTGCCCTCGATCAGCAGATGAAAGGTGCTAGGGGAGTGCAGATGTTAAATACCATGCAATGCATGACCACTCGCTCCTCCTAAGGGCTCAGTTTCTCATGGAAAAATGGCCAGCTGTGTCGGGGACAGTTATCAGCATCTGTTCTAAATGGGCCGCTTTCCATGAAATTGGGACAAGATATAGTGTCAGGGATTTACTGGCAGGTAGCAGAGTACAGTCACCCTTAGAGAAGTAAACCCGATGCGGAGAAGGACACAGAAAGCATCCTCCCTGCCGTAGCATCAGTTACTGCATGATCCTCTGCAGAGGGTGCAACCACTGCTTAGCTAACTAGCGTCAGGTGAGGGTGGTGACAGCATGTGTGTCAATTCCATTCACTTTCCCTCCCTCCCCTCTCCAGCTCTCATCCAAAGGGAAAGATCAGCCTGGTTCCAAGAAATTAAATTCCACGATCTATTAGTCAACCCCAGGATAGTCCTGCCCAGGAGATGGTTTCTGATTCCTTCTTTGGCAATAATGGGAGTGAATATTTTACAGTCTCCCTGGCCAGTTCCGCCAAATAATCTTTACTCCCAAGCTGCCGGTTTCATTGAAATCCTCTTTGAGCCTGTCAGTAGGGTGTTAACTTACACACTCCAACAGGGAACAGAAGAAGTGCCCAGGTGCAGCAGCAGCACAAATCCCTCCCCGTGTACCTCTCTCCAGCTATCTACGTTCTCACATTGTACTCCTCAGCATAGTGCCTGAACACCTCAACCCTGAGCTAGGAGAACCACAAATTACAAATATGGGTGGGTTGGAGGTGAGGGTGTGGACAAAGTGTGTAAATTTTTTCCTAGATATTTTCCCCCTATTCTGGCCAGCTTTAGTGAAATCCACATTCAGAAATAGCTATCTGTCTGCACGCCCCCCAGCAACAGCTTTCCTCCAAGGAAATCACAATATTATTCCCTCTTCCTTCACCTTTAAAAAAATCATTAAAAAAAAAAGTGTATTTGATTGTCACAGTAACAGATCCCAGCCTCTGAAATCTCCCATTTGCTTTCCCCCAAAATCGGAGGCAATAGAACAAAAGTGCAGCAGTTTGGAGACCCCTGAAAATGTGAATCTTGTCCCTGATAGGGCAAAAGCCTTGAGTATTCTCATTAGAGTCAGAATCATAGAAATGTAGGGCTGGAAGTGATCTCTCGAGTCCACTAGTTAAGAGTCAGAAGCTTGGTGCTGGTAACCAGGGATTTAGAACTGGCAACAGCTAAAAAAACCTAAAAGTCTTCAAAGCGGTTTTGAAAAATGCTGCTTAATGGCATAATCTTCTTGGTATGAAAAATTGTCTAGAGTTGGAACAGTAGATTCCCCAGAGGTGAGTTGAGGCAGAAGGGAAAGGAACGGAGACCTGAGCTGGAAATCACATCTGAATAAAGGCACAGCCTTGATGCAGTCAGCCTGGCCTCTTTCCTCAGATCCACAGAGCTGGGATAATTCACATCCACTAGTATCAATGTGGAGCATCTCATTCCACAGCACAGAACAGGCATGCCTCTCTCCACTGCTCCCTTGAGAAATACAACTGTTCACAGGACCAAGGGTGGCCGCAGGAGAGGAGCAATGAAAGGAGACACACAGCTGTGTTCTGTCCAGCCTGGCTAAAAACACCCACTCATCACTGAGCTGGAGAGAAAGCAACGGCCCTCTCCTGCCAAGGCCCATCAGGATAAGCCCAGTGATGCAAAGCAGGGAAAGGAATGTACAGAGGCAAGTGGGAGTGGGTAAACAGAATCAGATTTTCTTTAGTTCTTCTTCATGGCTTGTATAAATTTGTGAACCGGAATAAGGGCACTGGCCAGAATGAGATCTGGTGCAGGCAGCTATTGAAGTCTCCACCAGCAGAGCTTCGCCAATGCATCTTAGCCCTGACATATGGTAACCCCTGCTACTCCAGTCCTGAGCCCCACACAGATCCACCCTGACCCTCAGCTACCCCAGGTACTGCAGCCCTGGGCCCCAAAATCTCAGCCAACATGCAGTGTATTTTGTGATGTGGAAAACCCTGTATTTAGGACTAGGATGGGCCACAGCCTCGCTTTCCCTTGTGACTGAAGTCAAAGCTGGAACACACAGATCTGCAGAGGTGAAAGGCCAAAATGTTAATTTGCAGAGTCACTCAATCGCCAAGAACGTCCCATTGGTATTAACTCCCCCGTTAGCAGGGCCAGGGCAGAGGGCTGATAGATGAAGTAACAGGGTGGATGGAGAGATGTGTAGATTGGAAAGAAAAACAACAAAAAGCCAAAAATGCCCCTTTATGTCATCATCAGTGGAAAGCTTTGCTGTTTTTTTAATGACAAGAAATCCTATAAAATGCCCGCCTCCACTCTTACACAAAAGATACCATACCTGGCTCTTAGTAACTCCTGGTAGGAGGCACATATGGGAGTCCGGCTGGTTGCTGTGTTTCTAGAGATTTCTGGGTCTGCTCCTAAATGGAGCTGACCCTTTCTATTTATATACGCACAAGATGGGAAGGATCAAGTTGCAGAGCGGATTAATCATGGTCTCTGGAG